TCAATTTACTTTTGAAGGTAACTCTCAAAAATTTTAAACAATGAGGCAAATTAGGTAATTATGTTTTGTTTCTCAAGCTTCAACTTCTTTATTATTAATTTAGAATTGATTGTTCAATACTAACTATTTAATATTAAAATATTAAATAAAAACACTGAAACTTCTAAATGCAAATATCAAAAAGTTATTATTAAAAATCTGAATTCTAATAATGAGATAAATCATAAAGAAACATACTAAGCAAACCCACTTTGTGAACGGTCCAGATAGCAACCATTGTGTTTGAAATCTACAATAATAAAAATGAAAATAAATTTATCTAATAAAACCTTTTAATAAGTTTTGATATTTGTCATTTTATTTTGTAATAGTTTTTAAATAAATAATATTCACGTTTAATTTATGTTTTTTTATTTAATTTTTAAATAAAAAAGCCACATAATACTTATACTTATATATGTAAAATATTAAATATAATAACTATGATAGGAAATTGCAACTAATATATTTTTCCATTTATTATTTCAAAATTTTATTTTAAAAAATATTTATTGTTTACATTTTAATATCGTATTTTTTTAATCAACCTGTGTAATATACGGGTTTTACTTATGGGAAAAGTGAATATACCCTTGAGGGTATATAAGCTTAGGTATCAAACTCACAAAAATACATTAGTTTGTTTGATATATTCATTATAATGTTCTTAAACTTTAACCCTTAACTTGATATACTTTCAATATGTTCAAAAATTCACTATTATCTTCCTCGTACATCACATTTTTATCGAACACCTACTAGGCTATATATATTATAGTTGAAAATGAAAATTATGTAAGAGAAAGATAAATGTGAAATTTATAAATATCTTAGAAGTAAATCAAGTTAGAAAATGAATAATAAAAATATTAGACAATTACAATGTATATATATATATGATAGAAAACCATGTAATATGATGAGTTTGGGTACCTAAGCTTATATATCCTTAATGGTATATTCACTTTTCCCTTTACTTATATAAAAACAATCTTTTTATGGAATGATTCTTTAGGAAATCTCATATAAATGAAATATATTAGAAAACTCTATGATTGAAATAATAACTAAATTTATGGTTTTAAGAGGTGCTAAAATTAAATCAATATATGAGTAAATATCTCATATATTCTACACTTTGAATGTTTGATGAGATACAAAAATTATGTTTTACTCATTTTTTATTTTATAAATTTTTAATAAAATAGCTAATATTAATTTTAAAGCTATTACTTATTAAATAAAAATAAATTATAAATATAAGATTTATATTAGTTATATTATTTCAAAACATTATATAAGGCTTAACGATGTCGTAGCAAAGATACTATCGGTAAGCTTAGATGACAGCTTTTACCGGCTGCAAACACCCTCCTCAACCAAATTTATTTTTCAACCGTAATTTTTATTGGCAAATTGTTACCATTATTTCTCTATATTCTTATCGATGGACACAACTTTTGTGCATTGGGAAGCTACATCAATATGTTGTATTTTTATGCATTAGAAAAATACATAAGTGTTGTAGTAAATTGTTGCTGTTTGGAAATAATTTTATAGACAACAATATCATCGCACATCTATCATAGGTAAAAATTAGTAAAAAAGATAAATGCTTGTGTGACACCAAAATTTTAGAAGATAAAACCATCACAACACCATTCAACCTAATACTAAAATAGTCTTGAAAATAACATCTTTTTACAAATCATTAGGTAACCGTAGGAATAATTGTCTGCTTATTGCATGTCATCGTCTGGATGTTTTGTCATAACATTCTCGGTAAAGCAGTTATCCGTCATATAATCATGTAAATTTTGACAATCTTTGTTTTAAGCATCTTTTTTTTATAAGCAAACTTTTAGCCTCATTGACCAAAATTTGGGTTGCGGTTACTCGCTATGATAAAGAAAATCCAACATCATGTGATTATGACAAAGATGAATCGTTCTTTTAATTCTCACATTTTTTTTTAAAATAGATAGTAATGTAGTTGTATGTAAAAATAGGGATGAAAATTTGGCCCAAAAACCTGAATCAAACCAAATTAGGAACAAATAAGCAATTTGATTCGATTCTTAGATATCTATATTATGTTTATTTAGTTTTCAGGTTATTCGGTCTGGGTAACCCAAATAAGAGCTTCTTTGTTTCAAAATACCTGATCTGCAATTGAAAAGTCATCTAATTTTAATCTTGATTACTTATCCTCGTTAGTTGCTAGTAACCCTAATCTGATCAAAGTCGAACTCGAACCCATGCCCTGCATTCATTATCCCCCTTCTCTGACTAATAGAAATCGAAATCACGATTCACACTTTTGTCCTCGTCGCTCACAACAGAAAAAAAAACATACGCTCGTCCTTGTTTAAAAATTGACAAATCTTCTCAATTATTGCCAAAATCGAAATCACTTATGTCGATTCTTCCTTTTGTTTCAGACTTTCAGAAATTGACATTTCCTATTGTCTTTAAGGATTCACGAATTCTTACTTTGTCTAATCATGGAAAATTGCAATGTTTTAAAACCCGGTTCGACCCGGCCGGTTCAACCGGTTGGACCGTGACCCGGGGTAGAAGGCAGGTCAATTGAGAACGGTTTTTTGTAAAATTACGGACCGGATCAAACCGGCCGGGTTTCCCCTAAACCGCGGTTCAACCGCTTATGTTGAACCAGTTAAAACCGGATTGACCCGTTTTGATAGGGTTTGGATAGTTGGATACAAGTAGCGAACGTCAAAACAATGAGTCGTTTGCGGTTTCTTCAATGTTTTTCAATGTTTAAACTTTGTAGACATCAAATTATTAGTTTATATGTTTATGCATTATGCGGGAAAGTAAAAGTATATAAAAATAGAGAAAGATCATAATCCGGGTTGACCCGACGGTTCAACCGGTTGACCTGTGAACCGGTCATCACACCGGGTCAACTAAAAACCCGGGTTTTAAAACATTGGAAAATTGTTCTCTAACTCAAGAAACGCTATGTAAATGCTTAACTTATATTTTAGTTTGGGCGTTTAATGTTACATTCTTACTATATAAATTCTAACCTTTTTTTTTGCACATTTGAAACAATTATGTATACTTTGTATTATTTTTGATTAATTAAATTGTTTCTTTAAAAGATTTGTTATGGAATCATAAGCTACAAAAGCCATAAAAATACAATGTTTATAATCATATTGTAAATGTTATTCGGGGTATAGAATCTTAATATGGTTTATTCAATTCTTTTCGGTTATATTAGGTCATTAATCATCATTACAAGTTATTTAGGTAATAACCGAACCGAACCCGTATTTGATTAATCGGTCCGGTTTTCGGTTCATACAATTACCCTTATTCGATTTTCGGTTTATTTGGGTTCGGATCGGTTCGGTCCTAGCCCGAATAACATCTCTATGTAAAAACGTGAGAGCTTAAAGTATATTTATAGAATATAAAAAAGAAGAAAAATATTTAAAAATTAACCGTTCAACCATCAGCAGACATATCATCATGGCTGGGACACCCTAGCGGCACCAATCTATGAGACATGATATTCCCAACGATGTTGATCCACCTCAGCATCCGGTATGGCACCACTTTAGTGTATTAGATAACCAGTATCGTGCAAAAAATTTTACATAGCCAACAAAGGATGTCTTGTGAGAATTAAACTTTTCCATTGACAAAAGAGGAAACAAACAAATCGCCAAAATTTAAGTTTATGTTCTTTTGTAGAACAATACATTCTCACATCAAGGGCTTTCAAAACAACTTAGCAATGCCGTCTATTCCAATTTACACGCCATGTAGATCAACACCTTTCAAATATTGCAAGGCTTGCAATTAGGGCTGTAAACGAACCAAGCGAACACGAACAAGGTCTTGTTCATGTTCATTCGTTTAATTTAGCCGAACAACAAACGAACACGAACAGATAAACGAACGAGATTTTTCTTGTTCATGTTCGTTCGTTTAATAAATTACTTTGTTCATGTTCGTGAACATGCTAAACGAATATAAACGAACAAACATAAACGAACAAAGATAAAAAAAAACACAATGAAACATATATGAACATAAACGAACATATAATATAGCAATATAATAAAAAATAATTGAATATAGATGAATATAAATAAAGTTAAACGAACGAACATAAACGAACGTAAATGAACATCGTAAACGAACGTTCACGAACATAAATGAACGAATGAGACCATTGTTCATGTTCGTTCATTTAACTAAACGAACGATAATTTTTGTTCATGTTCGTTCATTTATTAAATAAACGAACATAAACGAACTTTCCGCCGAACAGTTCACGAACGGTTCGCCGAACGTTCAGTTCGTTAACAGTCCTACTTGCAATTACAATTTTATATTAAATAATGTTTTCTATTTTAATGTATAATTTATTTAATCACCCTTTTATTATATTAACCTATTATTATATATGGAAGTTTTAGTTATTTGATTTTCCTAATTCACGTTTTCATTTCGTCTTCTCTTATATTTTAATATATTAATTTTAGTTTTAAAGTTAGTTATTATTTGATTAACAAATATTAGTAACCATTGTTTATTTAAAATATATATATAAGCATACGACATGTATTTTCATTGTCATGTAAAAATAAGTAATAGATCCGTAAATCATCAACCGCAAACAAATTTGATTGAATATATTCAGAACCGATTTGGAGACGAAGAAAACGGCGATTAATATTGAATATTCGTTTTGTGATTCATGTTTTTGTAACATCTTATTATTTAAATATTTAACAAAGTAAAATAAATTTAATATTTAATATTATTTTGCTATTTTATATTTAAAAATATTATTTTAGTTTATGTTTATTTTCAATTGACTAATTATTAATATTTAATATATAAGATATAACATTTCATGGTGGCCTAATAACTAGTTCTTATGCGACAGACAATGCCATTTTATTTCAATTTGTAAGTTGAACGATGTTATCCTTATAGATGATAATAAACTAGTAAATTATAATTAAAAAAAAAAAACTTTTATTTACAGCCTCATAAAATTTCGTTTAATTTTAATGCAAAAGACAACAAATCTAGGCATTAAGAGTAGCAATAGTATACATTAAAGATTTGAAATTTATGAGCCACAGCTCAAATCATAATACAATTACCTATAATTACCCCATCTTTTTGAAACCATTTCATGGCCGTTGACCAAGAAAACCAGAAACGACGAAGTATTCTGACTTCACAATTCCGGGGTCGATTGTTTACTTTATCTACAAACAACATTAAACCATGTTTTTTCTTTTCACCTCATATGGCATAGATTCTATCAACTTCCGAGTTAGAAAACTCAGAATGCAACCACGAGTTAGACCCACTTTTAGCAATCTTCTCCTTTTTCCTCTTCAATCGGTTCTTTTTGGATTTAAACACATAATAAGTCATAGTTCCAAGAACCCCCGCCATTATAACCCCACCCACCACGGTAATCAAAATAGCGGCCCATTCATATTTCCGGCCAACCACAATATAAGAAGAAGCCATGAAAGCCACCGAAGTGCAAACAGAAGCCAACCACATAAGCTTATTAATAACCTCCACCACCCGCCTCTCCGCCTTGGTCTCACCTCTCACCAACGTAATCTGCACCACCACCACCGCCAACGAAGTGAAAAGAGCAATCGCGTTGAATATGAAAAATATTTTAAAAGAAGCGCGGTTGACCACCACCGCCATCCCGTCATTGTTGTCACCGCCAGGGACGGTGAAAATGGCGGCGAATGCCACGGTGGCAAAGAGCACCGCCACCACGGTGACAGAGTTTGTGGCGTTGTTGATTCCTTCGCGGTGAAGCTTTCGAAGCTCTTTGGCAATTCCGTGAACGTTTTTGTTTGTTTTTTTGGTTTGTAAAAGCTGCGTGTGGACGTCGTTTTTGATTTGGGTCACGGTGTTTCTTAATTCATCCCGCGGTTGGTTGAGCTCGTTGGCACGGACCGCACCGCATCGAGTGAGACACGCGATTATGTCCGATGAATCTTCGGATAACGGGAGTCCTTCCGCTATGTCCAAAGCGGTTTTGTGATCACGCGTTAGTGCGTTCACGTTTGCACTTGTGTCAGGGAGGCTAAGCAACTCGTTTACTATCTGTGACAAAAGAAATTGCACTAAACTTATTAATAACAGTAAGTCATTAATTAGTTAACCCGTGTCAATGTTGACCATTGTGAGCGCTCTAAGGGGCTCACAATTAGACCTGACAATTCGTGTATTCGTGTTAGACACGAATTTGACACGACACGAATACGCAAATGTATTCGTGTCGTGTCACACACGAATTTGTGTATTCGTGTGTCGAATTGTCAGGTCTAGTCACAATTCTTACTTCCTATAAAAAGGATGGAGTATACCTGAGCTCGCTTTTTTCTGGTAGCTACATGCAATGCAGTAAAACCATACTTGTCAGGCAACATGACAATAGCAGCATCAGCCTCCAATAGCAATTTCACAACTTCACTACTAACTCCTTTCACAGCCATATGCAATGCAGTTTGTCCTTTCTTATCAGTCCTTCTGCCCAATAGTGGTTCCTCTTTGAGTAAAGCTTCCACAATCTCCACACGTCCAGATCTAGCTGCTAAATGCAATGCGTTCTTTCCATTTGATCTTGGAATAGTCAACAAGCTAGGATCTTTTGACAGCAGCTCTTTAACAACAGCAGTGTGTCCTCTTGTGGCTGCAGTTATCAGAGGGGTTGCGTTTCCTTGGGATCTTGTTTGACATAGTGATGGGTCATGGTCAAGTAGTAGTTTCACTACAGCTGAAATATACAAGAAAGAAGGTTTTCTTTACAGGGATTACCCTTTTTTCTAATTGATGATGGAAGAAAGTTATGAAATTTACCATCGTGTCCTTGACTAGCAGCTATATGCAACGTGTCAAACTCCAATCGGCTTTTTCTCATGATGGTTTCTTTATTTGAGTACTTCAAGAGCTCCTTTACTACTTCAAGATGACCTTTTTCAGCAGCAGTGTATAGTGCTGTTTCTCCTAATTCATTCACCTCGTTCACTACTGATGCACGAATCTCTGCAACTTCTGCATCAAAATCAGCTCCGCTTAATGTTCCCACCATTTGGGAATCAATGTCATCGAGGATCTGCTTCACAGCTGCTAGATCCCCACGTTGGGCTGCTAGATGGAGCTCTGTATCGTTGTGTCTGCCTGTCACTTGCTTGACGTACTTTTTCTTTCCGGCTTGATCCATCCGCTTACCGGAATTTGAAAGTACCAGAGCTGGTGCTGTGGCGGAAGACGGGGACGGAGATGGTGATGCCTCCCCGAGGATATTCATAGTTTGATTATGCTTTATTGGAGTCATCGGCCCTTTTTCTATGTCTCCTATGCGATTGAAGAATAACACTGATTAACACAACATGATAGAAATGCACAAAACTGAAACAAAAAGTTTTCCAGTCAATTAGATAAATCGCTTTATCTTCATTATCGAAAAATCCGGAATTCGCAAGACAACTGATCATCGTAAAAAGAGTTATCACTTACTAAAATCGATTTTATAAATATACAAATGACCTTAAAAACCAAATCAAACCAAGAACAAGATCGATCTTGAGCTTAATTTTCTACTTTTGTGTTAATCTAGTTGATCGTCATCTTACAACCACCGGATTCTTCAACTACCTCATTTTAAATAAAAATACGATAACAAAATCGAGAATCTGCAGTATAAAACACGCAATTAACAAAAAAAAAACAAACACACACGCACAGAGACTTAAAGAGATAGATGAGCACCTTCATCGATGGCTGGAGCCATGTTTGGATTCAGAGACAAAGTGAACAAACCCTAGTAATCGAAGTTGGGGGTCGTATACCTTTGATGGAATCTGGTAGGAATGTTTGATTAGAGAGAGAAGACACTCAGAACAGGACAATCGAAGGAAAGTGCTAAGAAAGACGAAACTGCGCCACTTGACTATTGAGTAAACGAAAAATCAACGATCCTTCAAGTTTACTAATATTACAACTATTTCCCCTCGGGTTATCTTATCACCGACGATAAATGTTAGAGTAACTACAATTTTTTGGTCGTTGAGTGTAGAATTTTTTATTCTTTTTTTATTTTTTTATTTTTTGGTCCTGAGATGAATTATTTTTTAAATTTTGATCCTTACTCTAATGTTTTGTAATATTTTTTTTATGCCTATAATTATTCCTACACACTAAAATTATAACAAATCACCATTCAATTTTATCTTATTTGATATATTCTTAATATAATCTTAACGAGTTAATTAAAAAAAATATTGAATGATAACACTTATTATAATCTTATTGGACAGGAACATTTATAGGTATAAAAAATAAGAATCAATTTAATTTCTCAAATTAGTAAAATCAATGTGACGTCTCCTACAAAATCTATTTTGTAAGGCCGGACGGAATGGAAGCGGGAAGGGCTGCGGGTAGCTTCCCGCGTCGACGGAACACTGCACTGTCGGTGCGGGATAAGGTGGCGCGGGAACCGGTGAGGGGAGGCTCTCCCGCGTTCTTTCTCCGTTGATCACTGGCTGGAATAATTTTTTTCTTTGACTTAGTCGTTGTTTAACGGTAAAAAAAAAATCATTTTTTTACTAACGGATATATGCATTTAAACCTTTTTTTTAATACCTTTTTAAACACCTATAAATACTCAACTATTTACCTTCAATCAACATTCAAACAAACCTCTATTCCCTCTATTTTTTTCTCAAAAAAAAAAAAAAAATCCCGACAATCAAACCTCAACTGCCGATCGAAGGAAAAAAAGTCATAGTTCGAGTTTAAACATCCCTACTCGAAACATTTTTGCTATCGATTCATCATCACAAAGAGTTTATCATCCCTACAACTTCAGTATCAAAATGTTAGACAATATTACCCGATCCAAGTTCCAAATGTTACGTCGCAAATGTATACAAATTTTGTTGTTTTCCGGATCAACAATCGTCAAATCAACCTCAAAACCAAACCCAACCCCAAACCCAAACCGAAACTCAAACCCAAACCCAACAACAACGCTAACTTGTCGATGAGTTGGATGACTCGGAAGAAGAAGAGATGGTTCCCGAAACTCAACTCACACCACCCCCATAAAGACATAAAGGGAAAAAACAAGCGTGCGAGGGTGTCACACAACCGGGAAGACAAAAGCCGACATCATGGCTTCCACAAGAAGAGCTAGTTTTGGTCAAAGCTTGGACTGACATTTCTGAGGATTCGATTCAAGGAAATGCACAATCGAGAGATCATTTTTGGTTTCGCATTTTAGAACGGTTTCGGGAGGAGCTAGGAAAAGGTGACAACTACCGTACGAAACACCAACTGAATTCGAAGTTTCGAGAAATAACAAAGGGGGTTTCAAAAATAAATGGGGTGTACAATAACCTAAAAACCCAATGAAAAAGTGGCCAAGGAGACGAAGAAATACTTCAAGAAGCTTTGAAATTTTACCTTGAGGAAGTCGGAAAACCATTCAAGTGGCACGATTGTTGGAAATTATTGGTCCGATGTCCTGGTTGGAAAAAATACTAGCAATATTTTATTTTTGGAGTCCAACAATCAACGCGGACGAAAACGAGCTCTAATGGTTACACAACTTCCTCCGATGCTTGAGTCGGTGTAGATTTAAATCAGGACGACGAACACGAGCTAGAAGAAATTGTCTGTCCGATGGGTAGGGACAAAGCAAAGAGGAAGGCAAAAGGGACTTCTTCGGGTGCATCAGATTTCAGCTTGGACTTTGACAAAATATGGAAAATAACAGCTTCGTTTGATCGATATACTCTTAATTTCTCCGAATTTTGGCGTTCGACAAAGAAAAATAAGAAGCAATGAAGAAGGAGCGGGCGGAGAGACAAGAAATGGAGGATATGAAGTTTTTGATGGAAAACATCGAACATCTGTCGGGACCGGCTCTTGAACTCGTAATGAAGACGAGAGAAAAAATTCTGAAAAAATATTTTCCGTAGGTTGTTGTTGGTTTGTTTGATTTTTTGTTTGTGTGTGTGTGTGTGTCTATATATATATATATATATATATATATATATATATATATATATATATATATATATATATATATATATATATTAATTTTCTAGTTTTTTTAATTTTAGGTTTATTGTAATTTTTATTTTAATTAATGAAATGCATTTTCTTTTTAATTAAATATTTTGGTTATTTTTAATTTAAAAATTATAGATCATAAACATCAATTAATTTTATTTAAAAAAATAATGAGGGAAGCCCTTTCCACCAATTCCTTGGGTTTTAGGTGAGGGAAAGGAAAGTGAGGGAAATGGTAGTATGGCCCACAAAAAGTGAGGGAAACTCCCCTCCCATACCCTCCGGTCTAAGATCATAGTTAGATCCATGAACACTTTAGGATATTGTTGTAAGCTTTACCAAAAATGCAAGAAATTTTATAGTTATTCTTTTCTTTTCCTCATCGAAATAGTAAATCTCTTCGTTAAGTTTGTCAAGATCGAGATCCTATAAAGGATTATTTTTGAATTTGCAAGATCAGGATCGGGATATTAAGATCCCACAAAATATAACATAATTTTATTTTATAATTTTAAAGCATGAAAAATATCTAAAACATTCAGTTTTCCATTTAAAAGATATAAAAAATTCAAAACATTACTCACAACTTACAACACAAATGATAAACGATACATTGGTAAAGGAAAAAAGACATAAAATGGTAATTAATTTTTTTCATTTAAAAAAAAGAGAGGTAAGGTAGGATCGGATCGGATCTCGATCCTACGATCTTATGATCTTGTACGATCCTACCTCAAATACGACCCGACTCATTTTTCATACCTAGGATTGTAAGATCGTACGATCCTACGATCAAGATCGCGATTTGACAACCTTGCTCCTCGTTATATGATTTTATTTTATGATGTTTAATCAATTTAATCGGATAATAAATTGACTATTCCCATGTATATGCTCCCTTAAGGCCGATTGATAACAGACATATCCGTGAGATGGAAACACCACCATGATTGTGCACACCACCTCGTATGCCATGACCGTGGTGGTTCATGGTGTTGAGGACATAGGGTAACGACCAATTAAAACAATGACGAGGCTAATATTGTTTGTATCTCCTTATCTCTTTCTTGCTTCCTTGCTTCTCTTTCTTCATTTCTTTCTCTTCACCGCTCTTCTTCTTTGTGGGGAGTACGTTGTGATGAGTTTAGAAACTCTTAGATCGATTAGATCTTCAACAGGTTAATCAGTAAAACAAATTAATAGATAAACAAGCAAACAAAATAACGCAAGGTAGAATCAAATATTGCTTAATGATTCAAAGTAGTCACACCTCAATACAGCTCGATAAAGAACTTCCACTGTAGAGGCGAGCTAGGGTTTCAGTACAATCAATGAGAATAACTATCAAAACCGTACATTTCTAAGGATGCATGCATGCACTTTAAATACTAAACCATACTAAAATAATCAAGGTTGGACAGGCCCAAACCGGATATACAAAATAAACCAAACAGTAAGCCCAATGATGCAACTCTAATACTCAACAATCTCCCCATTTGCATCAATTGAGGCGAGGGCTTAGTTCGGTTGGACAACAGAAGATTTCTTGACAGTCTTGAACGCGTTCGGTATAATGGCCAGTAGAGTTTGACGAAAAGTGATATACCACCGAAGCATGTCCGTGAAATTCTTCTTGTCTGACTCTCTGTTCTGCTTACACCGGTGAATAATATCAAGAATATGCTCCAAGCAGTCTGTAGAGAACAAGTGTTTATAAACAATAGCGAACAAAAACCTTTCACCTTAGTCTCTCGTGAACATAACAGTAAGATTAGTAGATTCAATTTGACCCAGCTTCATTTTGTTAACATATCCATGCTTTCCAGTAGTCTTAACTGTAGGTCTCTTCCTCATAACGTGAGCCACCTCTTGATCCATTTTTGCAACTTCAAGGATATAAGAGGCCAACATTATCTTAATATAACCAAGGATCGACTCATACTCCTCCGAATTTGTGAGCGAAATATTAAACAGTAAAATCCAATAGTGAGGATTTAGATTAGGAAGATCTGCCAAAGAAATTGTATGGACCGAGTTGCCCGATCCTCTGGTTATTCGAAACTGAATATTGAAATTTTTTCCAGCAGGTGAAGGTTTCATCACTCTGACCGTGGTTATCTTCTGAGCACTCCACGTCAGATATTGAGGTTGACTGAACTTAAGATAACAGTGGATAAGATCACGATCAACCTAAGGATGAGGAGAGGGAACTTCAACTGTTGAATCAAAACAGTGAAATACAAATGCCTTTCTGGTTATAAGCATATCGAATTGAGAGTCCCTCGTGTTGTCACAATCAAAAGAGACAACAGGTTCCAGCCAATACATGCTTGGAAACTCAATTGCTTCTTTGATCAGTCCATCCCTAGTTTAGGGAGGAAACAAAGCCTTCTTGCAAACAAGAGCATCATGCTCTTCCTTCTTCTTTCTTTCTCTCTAATTTGTCTCTCTAGTGATCCGAAGATTATCATCTAACTCTTTATCCGTTTGCTTTCACTTAAGTACCTCGACTATCGTTTCATTATCTTCATCACTTTCACTGGATATGCCCTTCTTCTTTTCTTGAACACCAAAACCCAAAGCTTCGTTACCCTTCGGTTATAGTTTGACAACAACTTTGGGTGGTATGGGAAGAGTCTTCACAATTTTCACAACACCATCTCCCCCTTGTTGCTGAGCGACGATCGTCTCAGTAACACCCTTCATCTGGCTAAGAATTTCAATTGCCGGAAGAAGTTTAGATGTCAAATGATTCCTGATTGTGAGAGTAAGAATTGGATCATGAGCATGAATAACATTATTCAAAATATTAAGAACATCAGAGGTACAAAATTTTAGAACTACACGCTCTGTTATTAAGGAAACAATTTCCTTATCCGCCCAAGAAAGCTGAACTTGTTGAACTTCAATCTGAGTAGATTTGCGAGCCA